GTCATCGGTAAAGACAACTTTGTTAGCCCACGATGGTTCAGTACACTGGAGCATCGTATCGGCCATCTTTTTAACTGGTCTGTGCATGAAAGGAGCCGGTTGAAAGTTAACAACCACGCACACAAACTGACATGTTAAACGAAATTTCGAAAAGTATTTTCGATTAGGAGGGCTTGCCTAAACAGGGCCGTAATATTGATTATCTGGTGGCAAAATCCTGCGATATTTCAGAGGTGCAAGAATAATGTGTTTGCTGTTGCTCTTAACCACTTTTATAAATTCAAACATATTTACAGAAAGCATGCCCAAGATATCGTTTCTTGTAGTTCTTTGGTAGAAAGTCCGGTATAAGTGAAAGTTTGTTTTCAAACGAAAGGTGCGCCTAGATTTAAAAAGTTCTCCAACTCCCAAATCACGTTGAGCCCGGTCTGCCATTGCAATTACATTTAAAGTTTTCAATCTGCAAACCGTATGCTTAACGCAAAAGTAAAATCATGTATTCCCTTATGGCATTAAGAAGATACTATGGAGAACTATTAGGAGTTTGCAATGGATGTGGAATAGGTTATACACTTAATGAGGAGCAATAATAAAAATATAGGTTCAGTGTTTTTTGAATGGACAGAGTACGGTCTTGATGTGGCTGGCTGATGCTGGCTAATAAGCCAGAAATGTCCAGTCCAGTATCCCTTGTCTTTTTGAGTTATGTTATCCTGCCTATGGAAGTAGCCGCTATGCTAATGTTACCGGGGAGAAGTATGTTCTGGAACACGATAGCTTCACTTCCAACTGTCATCGTAAATAATTCTGCCAGATTAGTAAAAGATCCCGTTAGCGGAGATTTAACTTACCGCTGAGATTGGCTTCCTTCACCGAGACGCGGTACATATGTTTAACTGGGAGAAAGAGAAAACACATAAGGTCGATGTAAAAAAAATGCAGTCAGGTTAGTTTCTGCGTTTAAGAGGTCTATTTATACCTTAATATTTATCCAACAGTTACATCGAGGGAACGCTTTTCGGCCCATAAGTCTAGCATGGAGTTAGGCTATTTCAACTAGTACTTAAGAAACGTGAATAAAATAGGTTCACGTTCTGATAATCTTCTCTGACCATTGAAAAGAAATCAGGTACTAGTATTTTTCAAAAATTAATTTTTTGGTGTTCCCAGCTAAATACAATAATGCGATGAAAAGAGCTCAGCTGCTGCTTCAAAGTAGGCAAGAGTAGTTGAGCATTTTCTTTATAAGCAAGTATACTTAAGGACCAAGGGTCTAATTTTTTAGGGAATTATTTTTCGCCTAAAACACTGGGCTGGACGCTGTGCCAATTCGATGTTTTTTAGTTAAACTAAGCACCACTAGAATATTAGTCCGATGTGGGTACATTGTTCTAAGTAATCCCTACTTTATAATTCTTTTTTGGTATCCCAGGACAAAATCTTTCAAATTATAACTGCAGAGAGATTTATCGGAATGAAAAACTGTATGTATATAGGGGGTTGTGCTATTCATCAAGTAGATAGAACTGATTAAATTGACTACTAAATGCATGACAATTTCTGCGGAGTCGGAAATATGGTTCGGTAGATGGCATGGGAACATTTATACGCGGCGAATTCGACTTGTTGATACCGGTGTTCCTTAAGGAGTACCGCGCTCCTTCAGTTTATGTTACATCTTTACTGCTCTTATGTAATGCAGTTTGCATGACACGAGAATGGGAATCTACCATGACTAGCTCGCGTCGAAGCAAACTTTGCCGAAGCTCACGGCGGCTGTTCTCGAGTTCTGGGAACAGCCAATCACAGATGCCGCAAAGCTGGCCC